TTCCTTCACTCATTTTACTAAAATGCAAGCTCAACAAGGTCACGTTTGTTCATCTAAAACAGTACCTAGCACATAGTAGATCATCAGTGAATATTTATACATTTTTTAACTAATTCATCCTTTCATTTTTCAAATACTTTTTGAGTGCCTACCATGTGACAGATTCTCAATATCCAATATTAAAAGAAAATTCCACTGTGAATAAAATAAAATCACATCATGAGAAACCTTTACAACGGAAGAATCAGCCAATATTTACTCACTCTAAATCCAGTCGGCATTTAAAATAAGAAAAGCTAAAGAAGAATGGTAGGAGAAAATGTAGGTCAGTGTGGCACATGTCCCAAAATGATATAACACAAAACAAAACTTTGGGTAAAAATTATACAGCCTAAGAGTGGATGTAACTATAAAAAGATAGTACCAGAGGTCACCGTGATGATTAAACAGTTCTGCATCTTGACGGTGGTGGTGGTGACACAAATCAACACATATGAAAAAAGTGGATATAATTAAACACACACAAACAAACAAGTGCATGTAAAACTGGAGAAATTGGAATAATGTTAATAGATAGGTAAAACTGGAGAAATCTGAAGAAGGCTGGTAGATTGTACCAATATCAGTTTCCTCATGTGATATTGTACTTTAGTCATGCAAGATGTTACCAATTAGGGAAATGGTTGAAGGATATGAGAACCCTCTTTGTATTATTTCTCGCAACAGCCTGACAATTCACAGGTATTTAGAAATATGTTAATAAAATAAAATTAAACAGCAGAATGCTTATCAAAACACTGGAACTGAGACAGATGCCCAATAATGATGTAAACCTATATGACAGTATATTGAGTAATTAAAAATAATACAATCCTACGTTTGCAACATAGAAGGTTGTTCACATTCACAAAAGAAGAGGGACTTGCAAAATATGCAAGTACAGTCCAATTTTCTTTATAAAATAAGGAGCATTTGCAAAAGTATACACCAAAATGCCATCAGTGTCTCTCTCTCCACGTTAGGATCATGAGTAATTTTTTCATGTTGTTTCTCTATACTGCCTCTTTTTTCCTTTAAAATGAACAATATCACCTAACAAATATCTAAACAAATATCTATCTTTGGATGGGGATCAGGTAAATTCTGTATAGCTCTGGAAAAAAAACCAAGACAAATGGAAAGACATTTCAGTTCAACATAAGGACAAATGAGCTACCTGTAAGAGCCATGAAACATGAACCACCACCTTATGAGCCCATGGCCTGCCATGGGAATGGTGTTCACCAGGGCCTAGTGAATTCCTTATGAGTAATCCTGTGAATGGGAGACTGGCTTGTGCAGGCTGGGAGGTTGGACCCAGTTGCTTTCCCATTCTAAAACTCTGTGCCATTTTGTTTGCAATGAATTTAACAGATACCACCTCTTATTTCAAAAGCCCCTTTTAGGTTTCAAAGCACTTTCACATGTGCTGGTTTATACTAATTTTAGTTTGCTACTTAAAAAAAGAAATCTTATCCCTATAAGAGTTCTATAGAGTAAGCAGGGCAGGTATTACCACCTCCATTTTACTGAAGAGAAAACTGAGGCAACCAGAGAGTGATGTTTAATGTTATGGGGCGAGACAGAAATGAGCTATGAGATCACAGTTCCTTTCTCTTGACTCACAGCCCCACCCCTCTTCCCTCTAATACCACACAGCCTCTCCCTTCCCACCAGGGTTTGGAAACTAGGTAGACCTGACATAAAGATGCCTGTCTAAAGATGATGGGTGCCGGTTGAATGAAAAACCAACAATGCTTGGCACAGATGCTAACAACTCACCAACAATAATACCCATCTGACTGTTCCCACGAACTTACGTGGACTCAATCAATGTCAAGTAACCCGTGTGTCAATTCAGCTTAAACACTGTGATTGAACAAACCAGTGGCGAACTTGAACAGCCCAAGAGGCTGGTGCCTCTAGTTGAGGATCTCAGTCAATATACTTGCCCTGTATCTGAGTCCTCCCATAGTCCCAGGGCAGAAGCCCACAGGTTGGGCTTCTAGGCCAGTTAAATAGTGAATAGGGTCCATATCAGGCTTAATGAAGCAGGGCTTTGTTACTTTCACCAAAGGAATTAACACAGGAATTTTGTATTTATTTTGCAGTGGCAGCAGATTAAGCACTTCAGCAATAATGTGGCAATTCACCAAAAGAGGTCTTAGTTAGGTGCTATCTGAAACCATGAAGTTAAGTGGGAAAACATACACATGGAAAAAGTTTATATGTTTTAGAAAAATAAATCCAAATTTTAGATAAATGATACTCTTCACAAAGTATACTAAACAAAGGACATATTTTCATTGGCTGATAGTGCTATTTGCATACATATATCATTTTCTGTGTGCCAAGCCCTCTGCTGAGAACCCCTCCTCACAACCACTCCCATTCAAGTCATTACGGGAGGAAACTGGAAGTTTAGTGAGGTTAAGGGTATTTCTCCCGCGTCACACAGCCACCAGGTGGAAGCAACAGGATTCCACCCGGGGTCTGATGACTCACAAACCAGCATACTTCACCATTACTTGTTCTCTCAAAATGTTGAAAGTATATGCTCCTTTTATAAACAGGAAGTAATTAAAATTTCTTTATAATGGTATAATAAATCACTTCAGGAGATGGAGAGTTAACTTGAGAACAGTTGGAAAACAAGGAGAAAAACTAGGCTGGACTTGACACATAACACACAGGGAGGAAGAGGAGAGACAGGTGAACAGAAAAGAATACAGGCTGATTGAATCAATGGACTCGTATTGCTAATGCACTAATACTAGCATTGGCTATTGTTAATAAATTATTTTTATTCTATACTACATTTATTATGGAAAGTAAAATGCAAAAAAAAATATGCTAAATTTTTCAAGGGTAAAACTAAGTTATAAGTTGAATTTCAGTATTTTTAACCTCCATTCAAAAATCAAATCCAAAATGAAGGTGGAAGTATATGTAATTCCAAAATCTTTCTCTATTCTTGTATAAATCATAACATTCCACCTTGTTTTCTAGGAAATGAAGTTTTATTGGTTAATATCAGCAAGATGGAAACTTTCTCAAATAAACCATTTTATGAACTTTGTATATAGACATTATAAAAAGACATAACTTTAGATTCTAACATGAATATATTCATAAATGGAATTTCCATTTTGCATATTGCTGTTTCTTCAATTATGTAATAGTACACTATACTTTTGGTCTTTCTCAGCTGAGTGTTTATATACATATTGACAGTTATAATTTTTCTGGGTGTCATTTAAATTCATACACATATTCCACAACTAATTACATAAGTTAATCTTTAAAACAACAGTAAATATTGGCAAACATCAAGATTTTATGTATGCCGTGCTTATAAACATGTATCCTTTCAACAGTGTTAATAAATTATTGATGAAGGTGATAATATCACAGATACTTAAAATACTTTTCTTCTTAGCTACATCAGATTCAGCCTCCAGTATTCAATCTAGTCACTCACTCAACAAACCACTGAGCACCTATCATATTCAAGACACTGTCGTGGGCAGCAAACAATCACTGAGCACCTCCCATGTGCCTGGCACTGCTCTCATCAGCATGATGACTACAGTGACTCAAACAGACAGAAGTTCCAGTCTTAATGAGTTCACATAAATTCCTCGAGAAAATTAGGTAGCAGAAATGGAGCTTGAGGTAGAAAACTGGTTTTGTCGTGGCCAGATGGCCTTAAGCAAATTATGTGAATCTCTCTGAGTCTCAGCTCCCTCAACTCTGAACTGAATATAATAATACCTGTTTTTATCATATTATATTTGATTAGAAAAAAAAATGCTAGTTTATATGTGGAAAAAAAAAACCCTACTTATTCTTTGGTCTTGGAGAAACTGAGGTAGTTGATGAGGAATAAATGTTTTGTCCTCATTATTAAATCCTTCAAACTATTTCATTCCATGTTTTCCATGATTTAAGCTTTCTGCGTTTAATGCTAACCATGTGTAAGGCTTGCTGGGTCACCATAAGGTCACTTCCATACCTAGCCACCAATTTCAAAGTCTGTGTTACAGGCTTAAGATGCTGTAATTATGTATGTTTCCCCTTATTGTGGAGGGAAGTTCGATTTAAATTATAACTTAGTGATTATTTCATTTAAAAACACAGAGATGTTCCTTGTTGACTAGTTCTTTACAAACAGACCTATTGCAATTGATATTTATGAAAATCTCTCAGTAATTTTCTCTTCTATGTTGTTCCGTGATGATGCTCTTTCATTGTGAGAATGAAATAAGAGTGAGGTGTAGGTGGGTGTGTCACAGGACCACAGGACAACCATTTCCCAGCACTCAGCCCCACGTCATTGATTAAATCAAAGGAAGTGATTAGTTCCAATCCAATCTCCCTGATTTAGCTTCCCAAGCCCCCACCCGGGTGGGGTGTGGCAGGGATGTGGGATTTCCAACCTATTTTTATAAGCCCAGCAAATCAGAGTTTCACTTTCTAAACAAAGAGGTGCCAACCTTGAGACTCTGCAAGAGCCAACACAAACCAGGCATTGTACCCAAGTGAAAAGAATATAATTAGCAAAGTTATAGTCACAATTAGGAAATACCTCCTCGGAAAAGTTTCCAGTTTACTCTGAGCAGCACTCAAATTACCATTGTGCTTAACGAGGCCTCCGTCTCTTGGCTGGCTCAGACCTTTCCAACAGATCTGTGAATCCCAGCACCATCCACAAAACACAGACACCCAAAATCTAGAGCTGGATCTATATTTTTTTCAGTGACAGATGTGAGAAATGTGCAAACGGAGACACCAAAGTTACAATTAAAACATAAGAAACGTACTTTCAGAAATGACCAGGCAAGTGTGAGCTAAATTATTCTTTCTCTGAGCTCTTTCTTCATCTTCTCTAGCCCTTCCCCTTTCCCACTCTCAAGAGAGGCTAGAAGAGAGAGGCTACAAAAGCAACAATGGGTGCTCACTTCATCTCCAGGATCTCCTCCAGCTGTTTCCTCCTCTCAATCCGGAGGTTGGCCAAGTGCGCTTCTTTTTCGGCCAGGGACTGCTGTGTGGAGGCGAGGCGTGCTTTGGTGGCATCCAGTTCCTGTCTGGTCTTCTCCAGTGCATTCATCAGTTCCTCTATCTGAAAGGCACATGGAGCTCTGTGTGTTATTTCTCCTTCATTCAAGCACAAGACATCCCTTGCTAGCCTGTGTTCCAACAATAAACACAAAGGAATCATAGGGATCCTCGAACTGGGCCGCTGTGTCTTGGAGCCCTTTCTTTCTTTGTCATTGAAACTATGAGGATGCAAACACCTAAGAATGATATAATGGACTCTGGGGAGTTGTGGGGAAAAGCTGGGAGGAGGTTGAGTAATAAAAGACTACACACTAGGTTCAGTGTATACTGCTCGGGTGATGGTTGCACCAAAATCTCACAAATCACCACTAAAGAGCTTACTCATGTAACTAAATATCACCTGTTCCCCCAAAACCTATGGAAATAAAAAATTAAAACAAAACAGAACAAAAATCCTTAAAAAAATGTTTCAAACACAAGAAATGTCCAAATTTCTCCAAGGTCCTTGTTCAATTGGATTGCCCAATAACCTTTATAAAAACTACTTAATGTATTTATTAGAATTGGGGGTGAATAGCTTGACCCAATTTCAACCTCTGTTTGGCAAAAGTCTCAGATACTTCCTCACCACTGAAGGAAGGCAACACTCAAAAGGCATTTTGCCCAGCACAATATACTTCTGTGTGTAGGCCCCAGAGTACTTTGACAGAAAGAATCTACGTGTTTCAAATTCGGTCACATTTTAACCTATCAAAGCCGTGTTTGGTAAAAGCTATTCGATGTCCAGGGAGCCTCAGGAGTCCCTCTCACCTCACCTCCCAGCCTTACATTCAGGAAGCAAGGTTTGGCCAAAGGTAAACAGAATTCCAGCCACAAAAGGTTCAAGTTTGGTTTGCCCCTGAAGTTTGAGAGGGTTCTAAACTTGAAATAAATGACATGTAACTTTTATAGGGTGCTAATACACCATAGAAATAAGCCAGACTATCAAATATCCAGGGTTTTCAGCCAGGTCCCAAAAAATGAGACCCGGGAGCCCTGAGGCAAAGCCTTATCCTCCCCAAACCTTTGGGGACTTTTAAAAGGCAACACACAACAAAAAAGGCTGGTGTTTATGTTTCCGTTCCAAAGACTTCCGTGGAGCAAGCTGGTAAAATGCCATCCCTTGCACAGATGTAGGCTGTGTCCACCCTGCTGATCCAAAATCATGATTCCAGGAAGTTTCTAGATTCGAGTTGATGTTTGGCTTTCTAAAACACTCCTTCCAGCTGAACTTGGCAGAATAGGCTCATCCATCACTAAAGTCAACAGAACGCCCTTCAAAATGTGTCAATGACATGTTAAGTTCCAATTCATAAAGACTTTCTACACAATTTCTGCAGTTTTACATGGAATTTATTCAGAATAAGCATTATAGTTTACATCCAAGGTAAATTACATGCTTTTAAGATTTAGAAAACCCTTCATTTTGCCCTGATAAAAAGAGGAAATTTAATGATCATGTAATTTAAATCAAAGCCAAAACCAAAAAGAGTTTAAAAAGCAAGGAATATAAAGAATGACCTATGAAAGTGACAAAACCACCCCTATTTAACTGTAGAGTAAATTGCATTACTCTTTAACTTTACAAATCTATACAGTTTAAAAAGTATTAATAAACTTTTTAGTTTCTCATATAAGTTCACAGAACATCACAAATATGACTAGAAACCCAAAGCAATATGTGATGAACTTAAAGCAGAGTTTTAAGTTTTCCTCCCTTTTTCTATTTTTGATACACTCAATAGCAGTGACCCCCAAAAACTCAGAATTATGATCATTCCATATGCCAATTCAGATAGTCTGCCTGACCCTCCATATGAGATGGTCTGTGTCCTCATGATTCCTTTTCTGTCATAAATCGTTCTTTATTTCAAACATAATATTGACTTCAGAGGAGTGAGAGGTCTCCATTATTCTCATTTGTTCAATCTCTCTCATTCATCGAAGCTGACCTATCTGCAATCTGTAGACACGCAGTTATTCAGCTGGGTTTCCAAGTCTTAGATCACCTGCCACCGGACCACTTAAGGCAAACACTAGCTAGTTCTACATTAACCCAACTTTAAATGACACTTTAACCTAATGATTTCAGGCTGCTCCAGCCATTTCAGCAACAAGCACATGGAGAAACCTAGGTACCTGGGAGACATAATCCAGAGTTGTAAGTGATGGAGATGCCACTGGCCTCAAACATCAGTAAATGCTAGTATCAGATGAGACGAAACTGCTCCTCTCAACACCTTGGAAGCAGAGTTTTAAAATAAGTTCCCACACCAAGCTCCTCACTCTTCCTAATTTGTGTGGCCCTGGACAGTGAGTATTGCACACCGAGGACCATGTGGGGCACTGGCCTCAGAATACATCCTTCTAGTCTTAGCACTGTTTCTCTCTGTGACTTTTTGCAAACAATAATTATACCCTTGGAATCTCAGTTTCCTAGATGATGCCCATGAGTTCTTCCTGTGTTTAATATTCTAGAGACCTGAAAGCTGTTTCCTTTGCTGCCAAAACAAGAGCCTTAGAAAGCAAAAAATATGTCCCCTGGTGTGGTGATCATTAGGGTGGTTTCACAATATCCTAGTTCCCTTCCTTACAGGCACGTGGTAGGACTACATTTCCCCTCACCCTTCGAATTGGCTGTGGCTTTGGCCAATTAAAACCACTGTCATTTCCAGGTAGAAACATTTAAATGGTAGCGTTCAACTCCAGCGTTACCCTTTCCCTGCCATGGTGACCGTAGAAGCAAGTTTCAGACGACATCATCTTCAGCCTGAGTCCCCGAGTGACCACAATGAAGCCCAGGGCAAACTCACATCACATAGGCAAAATATAAACCTTGTTGTGCTTCCCCACTGAGATTGGGGGTGGTTACTCCCAGCATAACCTGGCCTATCTTCACTGATGAACTGTCTGACTCTTTTTTTTTTTTTCTTTTTTTTTGAGACGGAGTCTTGCTCTGCCACCAGGCTAAAGTGCAGTGACATGATTTTGGCTCACTGCAATCTCGGCCTCCTGGGTTCAAGTGATTCTCCTGCCTCAGCCTCCCGAGTAGCTGGGATTATAGGTGCGTGCCACCACACCCAGCTAATTTTTGTATTTTTAGTAGAGACGGGGTTTCACCATGTTGACCAGGATGGTCTCAATCTCCTGAACTCGTGATCCACCCGCCTTGGCCTCCCAAAGTGCTGGGATTACAGGCGTGAGCCAACTGCCTGATTCTTATCAAGTTCTCTATGACTGCCTCCATCTCCCCACCACAGTCATCTCTCATCAAGAGGAAAGTGCTTGTTATTCTTGCTGTCACATGGTATTTCTACTCTTGCAGGCCACAAGTAACTCCCTTCTTGCCAAATGTCTTTTCTTAATGTGTAGTTTGCACAGCTAAACACATCCCCAAGTCTCTATCCCTTCTTTGAAATACCATTTTAACTGACTGATTGTATATATGTAGTTTGTGTCTTCATCACCAGATTAGAACCATGGCATTATTATGGTGTGAGTGAGATGAGCTCCTCATCTTTCTCAGCTTCCATTTCCTCATCCACATTTACCTCAAGAGGTAAATAGGGAACCCTATTGCTTGCCTATCAGATGATTGTGGGCACATTAAGTGAGATGATGTAGCCCATAAGGCATTTATTCCTCTTCTTCTGATACCAAGAAATTAATTTTTTTTCTGATAATAAGAATAAAGTGTGGCCAGGCACAGTGGCTCATACCTGTAATCCCAAAACTTTGGGAGGCCAGGGCCAGTGGATCACTTGATCACAAATGGTGACCCCAGGAGTTTGAGACCAGGCTGGGCAACATAGCAAAACTCCATCCCTACAAAAAGTACAAAAAAAAATGTAGCCAGGCTTGGTGATATGCACCTATAGTCCCAGCTACCCTAGAGGGCTGAGGCAAGGGGATCACCTGAGCCTGGGAGGTCAAAACTGCAATGAGCTGTATTATGCCACTGCACTCCAGGCTGGGTGACTGAGTGAGATCCTGTCTCAAAGAAAAAAGAAAGAATAAAGTATATTCATTGTAAAAAGTATGAAAGATCCAGGTATGAAAATGGACGAAATCTTTCTTCTTAAGATTAAATAATAACACCATTTTTAGTTAAGATTCTCCCAAATCCCACCACCTAGAGGTAAACATTATAAACATTGTTATAATTTCTATATGTATTTGTGTATACATAATTGAGATGCTACATATAAATATATACATAATTTTGTATATAACTGATAAATGATGAGCATTTTTCTTTTGTAATTAAATTGTCTTTTAGAAATACAATTTTAATGTGTGAGCAGTGCTCTATCCACTCCTCATCTTCCTGAAACTGATGCTTCTCTTAGTGTTATGGTCTGAAAGTTTATGTACCCCCACAATTCATATGTTGAAATTCTAACCCCTAAGATGATAGCATTAAGGGGTGAGGACTTTGGGAAGTGATTAGGTCATGGGGGCAGAGCCCTCCTATATGGGATTAGTGACCTTATGAAAGAAGCCTAAAGGAGTCTGTATATTCCCTTTCACCATGTAGGGAAACAGCAAGATGTCAGCAGTTTGCAACCCAGGAGAGGGCCCTTACCAGAATCTGACCATGCTGGCACCTTGGTCTTAGACTTCCTAGCCTCCAGAATGTGAGAAATACATTTCTGTTATGTATAAGCCACCTACTCTATGGTATTTTGTTAGAGTAGCCCAAATGGACTAAGACACTTAGGAACCTGTTCCCCTGTTTATTTTGCAAATTACTCATCTTCCTGCAGCCCATACCTGGGTCTTTCTCCTTGTGACTCCGTCCTAGAGGCATTTCCACCATCCACATAGAAATACAGGGAATGCATTGAGGTCTGTCTCCACAGTTCTCACCTCTACGTAGATACCTCTCCAAACCTTATCTCCTTTTTCCTCACTTGACCTCTTTCACATGTACCTAACCACCTGTTGATCACTTCCATCTGGATGTCCTAATACTTTAAACTGAGGATGACCAAAATCCAAATCTTGATCCATATTACACCT